TTATGGCAGAGGACGTAACAGAACTGCCTTAGAAAACTGGAAAACCTAAGTTCAAGTCCCAGTCAGACCAACTCATTGAGTTCCTGTGGAACTCGCTTCCCTGCTCTGTTAGATCCTCACCCAGTCTATACTCCTTCAAAAAAATCGTTCAAAAACCCACTTCTTCATAACAGTGTATCAATTAAACTGTTAATAGCTCCCGACTGATTCAACTGTCATTAGTCTAATACTATCCTTACCTTTTTGTGTCATTTTACCCCACTCCCTCTAGCATGTAAGCTCATTGAGCAGGGCCCTCAACCCCTTTGTTCCTTTGTGTCAAACTTGTCTGGTTACAATTACATGTCTGTTTGTCCACCCATTGTAAAGCGCTGCGGAATTTGATGGCGCTATATAAATAACATAATAATAATAATAATTGATACACATCCAACTACCTCAAATTCTCATAGACAGTGAGCTGGTATGAGCAAAGTTCTTCCCCTTTAAATGCAATATATTAGTGCTATATACATTTTTATAATATGTTAGCTATGTATCCCTTGCTTCAAATACATTTTATGCTAATATATATATTTTTTTTCAATAAAAAATGCTCAGTAGTAAAGGGGTTAAGGGCATGTCAAGGGACTGGTTCACTGACTGAACTGAATAAAACAATGGAAATATTGGCACCATATACATGTTCTAATAAAACCTGCCTATTTCCCATTAATACAGAGTCAACACAAATACATCAGAACTTATCAGCTCTACAAATCCCTCAATACCAACATAATGGCTAGTCCTAGCTACTTAAACACTACTGTCCATCAGTTATAAAAAATGGTCCAAACTCACCCAATTACCTACTGATAATACCTGTATCCCTGTATCCCTATTCCTGTAGAATGTCCTCTATGCCATATGGCACACACTTTATACTGAGTCACACCTTTACATCACATATGTATTTCACCCTGTCACCTGGAGGATCCCTATCTAGCTAACCCACTTCACCTCTCCTGAAAACCTTAGAGCTTTATCAAAGGGAGCTGATAATACACATGTGCAATAAACTACATACTTTTCGTTTGAACTATGTCTTACCTCCTCCACACAGCAGGGGATGGAGCAGCAGGATGAAGAAATATCTCCACATGTCTGGGTGCTGATAATAACTGCACTGCATTGCTTCCAGAGACTAATCAGTCACAGAGATCACACGTGGGGCAGAGTTCAGCACAGGATGCAAATACTGACCTGGATCACTGGACACACAACCACAAAGTCAAACACAGACCTGTATCCCACAATACATAGAAACACAGTGAAAAGCACACTCAATATACACACAATTACACTGCTCCTTACACAGAGTGCTGGGTTACAGCATAACCTGGGTGAACATCTCTACAGCCCTGTACCTCAAAAACACACACAGGCAAAGTCACACTCACAGATCTGTATTACCAGTATACACACAATGTGCAAATCACACTCACAGCTCTGGATCCCCAATATACACACAGTGTGCAAATCACATTCACAGCTCTGGATCCCCAGTATACACACAGTGTGCAAATCACACTCACAGCTCTGGATCCCCAATATACACACAGTGTGCAAATCACACTCACAGCTCTGGATCCCCAATATACACACAGTGTGCAAATCACACTCACAGCTCTGGATCCCCAATATACACACAGTGTGCAAATCACACTCACAGCTCTGGATCCCCAATATACACACAGTGTGCAAATCACACTCACAGCTCTGGATCCCCAATATACACACAGTGTGCAAATCACACTCACAGCTCTGGATCCCCAATATACACACAGTGTGCAAATCACACTCACAGCTCTGGATCCCCAATATACACACAGTGTGCAAATCACACTCACAGCTCTGGATCCCCAATATACACACAGTGTGCAAATCACATTCACAGCTCTGGATCCCCAGTATACACACAAACAGTGTTCAAATCACACTCACAGCTCTGAATCCCCAGTATACACACAGTGTGCAAATCACACTCACAGCTCTGGATCCCCAATATACACACAGTGTGCAAATCACATTCACAGCTCTGGATCCCCAGTATACACACAAACAGTGTTCAAATCACACTCACAGCTCTGAATCCCCAGTATACACACAGTGTGCAAATCACACTCACAGCTCTGAATCCCCAGTATACACACAGTGTGCAAATCACACTCACAGCTCTGGATCCCCAATATACACACAGTGTGCAAATCACACTCACAGCTCTGGATCCCCAATATACACACAGTGTTCAAATCACACTCACAGCTCTGGATCCCCAATATACACACAGTGTTCAAATCACACTCACAGCTCTGGATCCCCAATATACACACAGTGTTCAAATCACACTCACAGATCTAGATCCCAGTATACACACAGACTGTGCAAATCACATTTACAGCTCTGGATCCCCAGTTTACACACAAACAGTGTTCAAATCACACTCACAGCTCTGGATTCCCAGTATACACACACAGTGTTCAAATCACACTCACAGATCTGGATCCCCCGTATACAGACATCCCTCGTGCAGCGCAGGCAGCGATCAAAACAATAACACATGTACTAAGACAGCAGTCACAGGAACACACACACCGCTGTACAGATCACGCACAGACCAGCCCACAGCCTGTACACAAGCTGATGTGCACACAAACTCTCAGTGAATAGGAAAGGGATTAGAGAACACCCCGCTGCACAAACACAGTAAGACATTAACAGAACACCCAAAATTCCAAAGAAAAGTAAAACTCACATACAACTGCAGAGCATTAGCAGAAACAATGACAATTACACAAAGACAGCCCCAGATAACAAGATTAGAAAGTAATCACAGAGCTAAATAATGCATACAAAAAGTGTGACATTATACTATGATCTACAATCTTTAATTTACATATATAAAGTAATATCCAGGAACACACAATACTAGCCACACAGGAGGAAATCTCACATGCAGCCTAGACAGTGACACAATAACACACATACAGGAGAGTTACACTTCAATCATACAGGTCCCATAACATACTGCAGCAGATCCTGGTGTCATGTCTTCCCCATCCAAAACACAGCATGTCTGCCTGTCCTCATGCAAGTGCCTGCTCTTCATTGGGGTGCTGGGTTATCCTAGAAAATGAGGCTACAATCTGTGTCCACACAATGACAGTGAGTGTTCTGCTCCCCTGAGCAAAATTCCTCTACTGCAGAAACAGATCCCTGGACTGCAGACTGACATTCCCACTGCAGGCTCCTGCTCTGCCGGTAGAGGCTGCACAGCACATCAAGCAGCAGCAGAGGTGTGGTTTGCAGATGGGGGAGGCTGGCTCAGCTGGGGAACTGGACACTTTCCCTGTTTAGTCTGTTGTTTTCTTGAGAGTGCAAGTTTCCTTGCAAGTGTCAATCTGGGTTGGCCCTGAACAGTCCTTTAATATGTAATGTTATCTCTCCATAGCTGCCAGCTTGGCTTATTTACAATAGTAATTGTTTTAACCTTTGAAAATTTTGGAAGCTATTCACTAAACAGTTAGTTTCTTTAAGTGGACAGCCAGAGTTGAAAAATATAAATTATATATATATAAAGGGCCACAATAGATAAATTGGCAAAAAAAAGTTTCCAAATAGAAATATATGCCATCTCAGCTGTTTTAGTCTGAATAAAGTAACCATAAATGAATGTTTAACAAATAAACCTGTAACCTGCCCTAATGTGTTTATAATTATTATTATTTTATTATTTATATAGCGCAAACAAATTCTGTAGCGTGGTACAATGGGTGGACTAACAGACACATAATTGAGATCAGCCCACTGGAACAGAGGGGGTTGAGGACCCTGCTCGATGAGCTTACATGCTAGAGGGAGTGGGGGTATAGTAACACAAAGGGTTAAAGTAGGGGAATTACATAGTTTGTTAGAGAAGGGTTTATTGAGTGCTTGGTAGGTCATTTTTGACAGTTGAAGGAAAGGAGTCATGGGGTGGGTGATGAGAAACCTGCTGACAGTTTAATTGATCCGCTTTAATGAAGAAGTGAGCTTTCAAAGATTTTTTAAAGGAGTGGAGGCTGGGTGAAAGTCTGATTGAGGAGGGAAGGGAGTTCCACAGAATAGGTGCAGCCCTGGAGTAGTCTTGAAGGCGAGCATCAGAGGTGGGGATCCGGGCAGAGGATAGGCGTAGGTCTTGGGCTGAGCGCAGGGGTCTCGACGGGCAGGGCCGTCTTTAATAACGAATGGACCCTGGGCAAGTGTTTGCTTGTGCCCCCTGTGCCCTGCCGCTCTCGCCCCTCACTCCCTGGTATGCAATCACGGCATCCATCCCAACGCAGTGGCGGTACTAAAGTAGAATGAATTTTATTGGGACCCCCAATTGCAAGGTTGGACTAAAGGTAGAACCCCATCTGTCGTGCAACTCCAACAATGCTTTGACAGCTGGGACTCTACCAATTTCCCATGCTTGCAGGGTTGTATTTAGCACTGAGCCATGTTAGTATGTTTGAATGTAAGCATGTGTTTGTATGGAGTATGTTTGTGTGAATGTGTTTGTATGTGGTACTGGAGTTTGAATGCAAGTGTGCATTTATGTGTAGTGTTTGTTTTTGAATGTAGGAGTGTGCTTGTATGTAGTCTTGACGTTTCAATGCAGGAGTGTGTTTTATATGTAGTGTTGAAGTTTGAATGGAGGGGTGTATTTGTATTTAAAGTTGCGGCTCAGATGCACAGGTACACACTCTGACGCACAAGCAGATACACAGATACATACACTGACTACATACAGATAAACAGGCACATACACTGACAGACACACTGGGTACATATATTGACACACACACAGACACATACACTGGTAGACGTACTGACAGACATACTGACACAGGCACATATACAGACATACTGACACACAGACACATATACCGACATACTGACACACACACACAGACACATACACTGATCAACATACTGACACACATACACTGACAGAAATACTGACACCCACACACTGACAGATATACTGACACCCACATACACTGAGAAATACTGACACACACACACAGGCACATACACTGACACACACAGACTGATATACTGACACACACACACACAGACATACTGGCACACAGACAGATATACTGACACATGCATACACATGCACTAACAGACATACTGACGCACTGACAGACATACTGACACATACACATACTGACACACACAGATATACACACACATATATACTGACACACAGACAGACAGACATACTGACACACACACACAGACATACTGACACACACACAGACATGCTGACACACACATACACTAACACACACATTAACACACATAAACTAACACACAAACACACACACTAACACACATACACTAACACACAAACACACACACTAACACACACAAACACACAAACACACATACATACACTAACACACACAAACACACATACATACACTAACACACACAAACACACACAAACACACACACACATTAACACACAAACACACATTTTTTTTTTTTTATGTAATCCCCCCAGCCTCGTTACCTTTTGGAGTGCTGGGGGGATTCCCTGGGGTCCAGTGGTGCTGCTGCTGGGCTCCTGGGTGGGTGGCCGGTCGGGCAGGAAGGCGGGCGCGCGAGGGAGCACTCACTGCTTCCTCTTCAGCTCCCTCGCGCGCCGCGTAGGGATGCCGGCGCCGGAAGATGACGTCATCTTCCGGCTCCGGCATCAGTGCGGTGCGCGAGGGAGCCGAAGAGGAAGCAGTGAGTGCTCCCTCGCGCACCCGCCTTCCTGCCCGACCGGCCACCCGCCCGCCGGGGTCAGCGGGGCCCACGGGGCAGGTGCCTCGGGCCCCCCAAGAGAAACTGGGCCCGGGGCAGCTGCCCCGTTTGCCCCGCGTTAAAGACGGCCCTGTCGACGGGACATACTTGTGTATGAGGGAGGATAGGTATGTTGGAGCAGCATTATGTAGGGATTTGTAAGCAAGCGCCAGAATTTTGAATTGGGCCCTATATCTAACTGGAAGCCAATGCAGGGACTGACAGAGCGTGGAGGCGTGGGAGGTGCGACCGGACAGGAAAATAAGCCTCAGAGCCGCATTCATTATAGATTGCAGCTGTGCAAGCTGGGAACATGTAAGACCGGTGAGAAGGGGATTGCAATAGTCAAAGCGAGAGAGAACAACAGCATGAACCAGCACCTTAGCTGCGTCCGACGTTAGATATGGGCGGATGCGCGCTATGTTCTTGAGTTGGAAGCGACAGGATTTGGCTATGATTGGACATGGGGAGCAAAAGAGAGATCAGAATCAAAAAGAACACCTAGGCAGCGAGCCTGCGAGGTAGAGGTGATAGTGGCGCCGTTGACTTGGATGGAGACAGACACAGGAGTAGCAGCACTTGAGGGAGGGAAAACTAGAAGTTCTGTTTTGGACAGGTTGAGTTTAAGGAAGTGAGCAGCCATCCAGTTGGAAATAGCAGAGAGGCAGTCAGAAACACGAGTCAAGGTGGGCGGAGAGAGATCAGGGGAGGACAGGTAGATTTGCGTGTCATCTGCATAGAAATGGTATTGGTAGCCAAAGGAGCTGATGAGTTTACCAAGGGAGGCAGTATAGATAGAGAACAGTAGGGGACCGAGGACAGAACCTTGGGGGACGCCGACAGAGAGGGGAGAAGAGGCAGAGCCAGAGAAAGAAACACTGAAAGAGCGCTGGGAGAGGTAGGAGGAGCACCAGGAGAGAGCAGTATCCCGTAGACCAAAGTTACAGAGAATGTGAAGAAGCTGTTGATGATTAAGAGTGTCAAAGGCGGCAGAAAGATCAAGGAGGATTAGGATAGCGTATTGGCCGCGTCATTTAGTAGCAACTAAATCATTGGATACTTTGGTTACAGCAGTTTCGACAGAGTGACCAGCGCGGAATCCAGACTGAAGGGGGTCAAGCAGAGAGTTGGATTCGAGAAAGTCTGTCAATCTGGCGTACACAACCCTCTCAAGGATCTTGGAGGCAAATGGCAGTAGCGAGATAGGGCGGTAGTTGGATGGGGAGTTGGGATCAAGGTTGGGCTTTTTCAGAATTGGGGTTACGGTTGCATGTTTGAAGGGTGAGGGAAATGTGCCAGAGGAAAGGGAGAGATTGAAAATGTTAGCGAGAGGAAGAGCAAGAGAGGGAGACAAAGTGCGGATATAGACTGTAAGCTCGTTTGAGCATATTTTATTAATGTGAATATTAAATCTTTGTCTTAGCTTATTATTATTATTATCATCGCCATTTATATAGCACCAGCAGATTCCGTAGCACATTACAATATTAAAAGAGGGGGGATTTAACTATAAATAGGACAATTACAAGAAAATTTACAGGAAAGATAGGTTAAAAGGGACCCTGATCAAAAGATCTTACAGTCTATAGGAGGTGGGGTGTAAAACACAATAGGACAAATAATAGCAATCAAATAAGGTGGGAGTGAAGCAGAGCTGGAGGAGAGAGTAGAGTGCTGCCCTTTAGGAGAGAGCAAGAGACAGGTATGCGAGGTAGAAGTTACTCTGGGATGCCATAAGCTTCCCTAAAGAGATGGGTTTTAAGGCACTTCTTAAAAGATGGAAGACTGATGGCGGTAGACAGGCTGTTCCATAGGAAGGGAGCCGCCCACGAGAAGTCCTGCGCAAGTGTGAGTTGGTTCCTGTAAGTTTTCTTGTAATTTTTCTATTTATAGTTAAATCCCCCTCTCATAATATTGTAAAGCGCTACAGAATCTGTTGGCGCTGTATAAATGGCAACAATAATAAGCTAAAAAGACAAAGATTTAATATTATATTATTGTTTAAATGACAATGGTGCAGAATATTGCTTATCCAAGAGTGACACTTCTGGAGGGGCAGGTTATTAGTGTAGTGAGTGTAGTGCTCAGATAAGGTTGAAAAGTTTTACTTAGGGGGCGATCACCCTGGAAACCAAGTGAACCACAAGTCACATACAAGTCACATACTAATAATGGTTGTTCTTCTTTTACAAATAATTTTTCTGATTATGAAACATTGAAAAGTATCCGCAAGGGTCAAGTCCTGGGAAACAAAAGTGTAGGAACTCACATTAACCCCCATCCCCCAAAAAAACACACACACACACACACAGGCTCATCGCTACCGGGCAGGCAAACCAAGCAATTGCTTGGGGCCCCGAGCTGGCCCGGGACCCCAAGCAGAGCCGGTGCTTCCTATAAGGTTGCAGCCGCCTGAACGCTCCCCTTCCCTGTAGCGTGCCTGAGCTCCTCTTCCTCCTGGCTGTCAGTGTGCACTTTCTGTCAGTCCGGCCGGGAACAGGAAACTGAATCCCAGCCGGACTGACAGAAGGAAGAGGAGCTCGGCCACGCTACAGGGAAGGGGAGGTGAGAACTGAGAAGAACATGGGGGGCGGAAGTAAAAAAAACATAGGGGGGGGAGTAAAAAAAACATGGGGGGAGTAAAAAGAACATAGGACACAGGGAGGGGGAGAGGAGAGTAAGAAGGACACAGGGAGGGGGGTGGGGAGTAAGAAGGACAGGGTGGTGGGGAGTAAGAAGGACACCGGGAGGGGAGGAGGGGAGTAAAAAGGACAGGGAGGGAGCAGTTTTAGATAATTTGCACATGTTTGTGAGAACTGAAAAATGTTAATGTGAGTGTGTGTGTGTTTTAAGTATGTTGGATTTAGTTATTGTGCACTTTTTCAAACGTATATTTGATTTTATGGTACAGTGGTGTTTTGCAAATGTTCAATTGTTGAAAATGTTCAAATTTTATGCACATTACACGCAACAGCAGTATTTGCACTGTAAACATTTTTTATTTATATAAAGTGTGGGTGAACTTAAACTGTATGGCTATGCTGTGGTTCCTGTAGGCTTTGCATGCATGTGTGTGTGTAGGGGAGGGTTAGGGGGCCTTCATGTCCATTTTGCTTGGGGCCCCCAAATTACTTCAAACGGCCCTGCACACACACACCATGTGGGGCACAACATACACAGAGCCTTGCTGAAATGATCTCAGATTTGGCAGATGCCCTGTGTTTGTTTAAACGCAGCACAAGCAAATGTATTCACATGCATGCACTGCGTTTTCTAGTGTCTTGTCTCTGGTGTCCCTATAAGTAAGACAACATAGAGCAAAATAGGACAGGGTAGATGTGTTTGTAGAACGAGCTGCTCGTAATGTAGTGTGTGTGTGTAAAGGAAAGTATTGGTGGTGTACTAGTTGTAGCTGGGTGCTATAGTATGTGTGTGTGTGTGTGTGAACATTTATAGGGCTGTAGAGATCGTGTGCATTGGCAGGGACACTTTTTTGCATTTGTAGGGCCTGTAGATGTGTTTGGGGGTGCAGTGTTGATGTTGGGGCTGCATTGTGTGTTTCTAGGAACTAAAGTGTGTAAATCTAGGGGCTGCATTGTATGTGTGTATGTGTATTGGGGTTGCAATGTGTGTATCTAGTAGGGGTGAACCAAGACACCACTACACCCCCAGGTTCGGAGCCACCGATGGGCTCAAACCTACCAACTAAGTGTAACACTGCCTAATCCACACTAAACCTCAGGATGCGCACTTCCTCCTCCATCTACTCCGCGATTTAACCTGGCCATTCCCCGCCACAGCTCAGGACTTGACACCCTGAGCGCCCCCCACCACACCTAAACAAGGCCTGTTGAAGGCCCTACTGAAAGCCCAAAATAAATAGGTCACACCCCACATCCGAAAGATGTACACCATCCCTCCTGAAGTACCCAGGAAGCATGCCTTCCAATTACCCATGCTTCACTGCCACTCCACCTATATGCCTAATAAAGACCGCCATCATTTTATTGATTTGTCCCCGACACCGAGCCACCTGGCCGGGTCCTTGGCATGTCGCCAGTGAAACTGAGGAACCATCTCGGACCACACCACCACCACACATGAAGCCAGCTCCCGTAGTCGGTCCACATCCCTCTTCATCCATCTAACCAATTCCTTTTTTGGGACCATGCCTGGATCATTACCTCCAGCGTGGATTAACAGTACATCCGGAACGGTGCCCCTTGCCACCCTCCGGAAAGTTTCACCACTAATGCCTTGCCAACCAAAACCTCATAAAACCTGTACATGGGGGTACTGTTGTATTCATGAGCATTTTAGAGCAGTAAAACATGTAGAGGTAATGATTTCATTTCTGAAAGTGCAATTTTAGTTTGAAAAATTAAGAAGAAGAAAAGTATGAACTAAGTGGCTACCTAAAAGACTGAACATGCCTCATTGTGAAAGTGAGCATCTTTTAATGATTTTTTTATATTTATTTTGTA